CAGCAGCAGCAACCAGCAGCAGCAACCAGCAGCAGCAACCAGCAGCAGCAACCAGCAGCAGCAACAGCAACAGCAACAGCAACCAGCAGCAGCACCAGCAGCAGCAGCAGCAGCAACAGCAACCAGCAGCAGCAACAACCAGCAACCAGCAGCAGCAGCAACCAGCAGCAGCAGCAACCAGCAACCAGCAGCAGCAGCAACCAGCAGCAGCAGCAACCAGCAACCAGCAGCAGCAACCAGCAGCAGCAAGCAGCAGCAGCAACCAGCAGCAGCAGCCGCAGACATGCTACCTTTCGTCCACCCCCGTCTCCTCAAGTCCTATTACCTGTACCTGTACCAGTCATTTTAAGGAAGGATCATCATCATCATCATCGTCATCACCATCATCATCATCATCATTCTCATCATCGTCATCATCATCCTCATCATCCTCATCGTCCTCATCGTCCTCGTCCTCGTCGTCGTCATTATCATCATGCATCATCCATTGTTACTAGTAATGGGATAGACCCAACATAGAATCATATATATACACATGTTTTTCATGTTGTTTGTTTGTGCGGGCATGTCCCAGTACAATTTACACTGCCCCTAGAATTGCATGGTTTGAAATGGGGAGGGGGGAGAAGCCAAGTCCAGGATCTATACTAATATCCTTCCCTGACCAAAGAGCCAATTACACGATGGACAACCAGATCGTCATAGACTGGAAAAACGACACTGAACAGGCTCCTCTGGCCATTCCTGCCAGATGCCAGATGTCGACACAGGCCATCCTGCGGGGCTGCCGGCAAGTGTCATGTTTTGGACATGTGGGCTTTCCCTGTATCCCAAACGAATGGCGCTTCAACCTCACCAGTGAACACAATTTCAGACCCTGTTTGAGGGCCCATCGCTGTCACTTGTTCGGACGGAGCAATGTCTTTACACTGAAGACTTTGATTGAGGGTCTCCGCAGTGCCAATTTTGATCGATTTTGTCCCCAGATCAGAACTCGCCATGGCCGGAGAAGCGGGGAAGCAGCGGACCGTCCTTCTTGCCACGGAGAAGGCCTTTGCAGCCGGAGCGGTGACCAAGATTGAAAGCGTTGTTAAAGCAGCAAATTACACCTTGAAGCCCCTTGGTTGAATAGTTTTCGGCCGTGTGTTTATTGCGTTTGCACTCTTTTGCCCTCAGGGATGGATTTGCCCTCAGAATGTGTTTTTCAATCATGCTGTCACAACATGGGAAGAAGGAAGTTGGAGAACTACAAGGGCAAGGATGATTTGCTGGCTGCAGTCGAGGGTGCCGATGCTATGATCATCCGCAGCGACATTGTGGATGCCGCAGTCCTTGAGAAGGCAAACCAGCTCAAGATCGTGGTCCGTGCTGGTGCTGGAGACTCGCTGAAAATAGAGAGGTCGGAACCTTGTAACCAAACAGGTCAGAGATTGAGATATCATGAGATATCCTTCCCACAAGCTTAGGCAACTTAGCAAGGTCCAAGGCTTTTTGATGTCTTTAGTACATTGACCTGTGGGAGGGTGCGGAGTGCGGACTGACAGGGTCGGGGTCGAGCCGCTGTGTACCTTCGTTTCACTAAGGGCCAAGGCACTTATGCATTAGCTTTAGGTGTTGAAGCTTTGTTTCAATTGTACATCTTACAACCAACTGACCGACTGTAGACTTTGGACAGTCCGGGTGCTCTCAGACTACTAGTTGAGTCTTGGACATGAGCGGCAACACTGTCAAAGGTCCCACAAATCAGGAGGTTTCTCAAGGAAATGCATGGAAAATCATGTAAAGGGCTTTTTGCCTTTGTACCTGGTGTTGTGATGACCCTTCAACGTAGAGAAAGAGTCCCCAAGACCGAGGCTATGACAACATTGACCTGAAGGCGTGCGAGTCCAAAGGTGTTGTTGCAATGAACACCCCTGGCCAAAATGCCAACGCAGTCGCTGAGCTGGTCTTTGGAATGACTCTTGGTTTGACATGCACAGAGGCAATTGACACAAACAGGTACGGACAAGTGGCAGCATTCGCTGTGTGTTGTACATTGTTCTTCAGAAGTGCCGACTGCTTCAGGATGATCGTGAGCGCACGAAACAACTTCGATGGCACCAGTGGCTTCGAATTGGTGAACCGTGAGATTGCATTCTATGGCTTTGGGGCGGTTGCGCGGGCTGTGCACAAGCTTGCACAGGGCTTTGGAATGAAAAGCTTCGCATATGACCCATACATCCCAGCGGACAAAATCAAGGCGAGGATACTTCAAGGCGTTCCTTACAGTCGTTATGACATATTATGACAAAAACGCATGAAGAAGAAATGAAGAAGAAAAACGGAGCGCACACAATTTGAAGGGGCCTTTATGACCTTTATGGGGGCCTCAAAAGATCATGCGAGGAGATGGGTGCAGAGCCTGTGTCTTCAGTGGCTGGGCTTTTCGAGCACCAATATGTGTCCCTCCATGTGCCCCTTACAGATGAGACCAAGGCTTCGATCAACAAGGCCATGAAGGATTTGCTGTGAAGTCGTTTAATGAAAGTTTAATGGCCTTGTTGGCCATGTGGCCTTCACCTAATCAAGAATTCCAATTCGGCTTTACATGGGACAGGACACCTTTAGAGCTTATAGCTCCAAAGAAAGAACGCAGTTCTAAAAGTGAGTGCGAGTCAGACTTGTCCGGAGTTTGCGTTTTTGTCTCTCAACTTTTTCCCCAGGCGCTGTTGTCAAAGATGCCCAAGGGTGGCACGTTGATCAACACAGCCCGAGTGGAAGTAGTACACGAGGCTGACATGCTTGAAGTCCTCTCCACTCGATCGGACTTCTGTTACCTTTGCGATGTGGCGCCTAAAGACATTGAGCCGTTTAAGGCGAGGGGTTGTGTGGTTGTGCTTACTGATCATGCAACATGTTGAAGGTTTACTAGTTATGTAATGTTATGTATCGTTATGTACAGTGTATATATTTATGTATTCAAACAATCTTTTTGTATCTTATGTATAATTGCATTATATAATGAGTGTTGCTAGCTTATGCCTCTTTAGTCCCCTGTGATTGGTTTCAAAAGAGAGTGCATAATGTATGTACACTGCAATTGTTTGTCAAGCCGCTAGTAGTAATGCCAGGAGCTACTAGTAGCTTCTTGCTACTAGTAGTAATGCCCTTGTTACTAGTAGCATCCTTGCTCCTAGTAGCGATGCCCTTTGTTCATAGTAGCTACTAGGAGCTTCTTGCTCCTAGTCTCTTGGAGCTACTTGGAATGCGAGGCCGCAGTGGGTGATAAGTTCGGCAAGCGTTTGATTTTCACCAAGAAGAAGATGGGCGCACAAACAGCAGAGGCCAATGATAACGCGGGGGTGGCGGCTGCCAACCAGATCGTTGGCTTCTTTGAGAAGGGTGAGACCCGCTTCTCTCTGAAAGCCTAGGCCCCAGGTGAAAAATCCGAAAAGTGCATCTTTTCACCGAAAGCACCGGTAGTTCAGAAGTTGCTGATATTGCTGGCCCAACCATGGGCCAGAAATTCTGAGTGTGCAGAGACTTTCTCCACTTTTGACAGGCTTTGAGGCCAGACATTTGGAGGTGTCTCTTGCAGATGGCTGCCTGGAGGGTAGTGAAAAGGACCTCTGCATTTCTGCGTTGAGCATGCTGGGGAGCAGAAGGGGTCGTCAGCAGGTCTCAGAAGACCCTGCCACCAAACTAAGTTTCTGCTCGAAAATGCCTTCCTGCCGATTTCTCACACCAGCTCCTCCGTTTACGTTTTGTCAGGCTGACAGATGCGACCTTTTGGTCTACCTGTATCGAACCAAAGCAGGGAGAAAAATGCACGGCTTGCGGCCGCCAATGCGACTCCAAACAAACATGCTGAGAGAAGTTTTATCACCCAACCGTGCCAATTCTAACGCGTGTTTAAAGGACAGTTTAGGTAAACATAGCAACACCATGCCACTATGCAACACTCAAAAACTATCTATATATAAATATAAAGAGATTGATAGAACCAGCCCTTGTGGGCCAATTGGCAGCCCTCGCATTGACAGCTTCTTCCGGTACTTGCTTGCGGTTGCCGAAGCTCCACTTTGCCCCAAGGCCGCCAGCACACTACAAGAGGCAGTGTCGCAGACGACGGCACAAGCCACTCGCAAAAGCTTGGCCCAGGCCTCAGCACAAGGAGCTTTGGAATCCCGATCGGAAGCATCAAGTCATCAAGTGCAATGACAAGAATCATTGATTTGTCCGTATTATTAGGGGGTCCCCAAAATGAAATTGCTTGTATAATCAAGTCTAACCTTACCGCCCAGCAAGGTGCGGTTGCATGCATTGGCAGAGTGATAATAGGGATGGCAAACAGAGAGATGTTTTGCAAGCAGCACTTATAAGTAGAGCCACCTGAGTAGTGGTTGTTACACTAGCTTCACAAAACGGATGGGTGATGTTGCTCGGGGGTTACTGGCCTTTGGGTGGTGAGCAGCTTCAGTTCTTTCAAAAGAATCAAATGTGACTCAACTGTGACCGATCTGCTCACATCACCTGCCCCCATCCACAGAAGGTGGATTCTAATTCAGAAGGCTTCGTCCGACAAGAACAACGCCAAGAATGGGATACGATCGGATCGTCGGCATAAAGTCATGTCGCGCCATGTCGCGCCTGCTTCTATGAATGTTTGATGCCCACCCCGAGAAGTTATCGTCGGCCCGCACAGGAAGAAATGACGAAGTTTTGTTGCATGTACTTAATTGACAAAGATGGCAACTTCCCAAGCCAGCAAAGCCTTGGATTCTATCGCAAACTTCCAAACGGACGGATTCTCACCAATCTCGGCGGCGCGTTGTGCCCTGCAAAACGGACCTGGCCTCAATCCATCCATGATGTAGACCCCTTCCGGCTCCCATGAAAAGATTGCCGCCTGCTGCTTTTCCAGCATATTCATTAAGATGTAAGATGTTCATTTCCTGCACCCCTCAAATTTCCTACCTTTTGTGCCTCCTGCTTTCTCAAGACCCTTGCAACAGCAATTTGTACAATTTGTGTACCGCATCATGTTGGGGGGATGCATTTGATGATGACCAAGACACCTCAAACGAATACCAACTCCCACTTCAAGGCGCTACAGAACATGTGTTCCGTTTGGGTCGACTCAGGCTGGGACTGCAAAAATCTACTTGGCTTTGGCATTAGACAGTCAGGGTCAGGACTTGGCAGATGGCGCAAGCCTGAGACTTCAGATTCTGTAAGTCTATTTATTGGGGTCCGATAATTTTTGAACGTAAGAAGGAACCAGGAGCAGCTCCGGCGTTTCTGAGGTCAAGTGCGGGCTGAGCAGTTGGTTCGAGAAGGCCTTAAACAGCACGGAGCCCAGACAAACCTGGGTGAAATGCACAAAGAGAGCCTCGGTGATTTTCAAGAGTTGTCCAATCGCTTCAATGTTGCGTTCAGTCGTGTCCATGAGTCCGGAGGTGAAGTAGCTTATTCAATTAATTGGAGTTTGTTGGCTCTTGGTGCTCGATTTTTGTATATACTGTAGTTAGGATGCTGAGATACTGAGATCTTGATAGGAGACTCCGCCAAGGCACCGAAACTTGCAACATGTGTTGCTGACTCAGTACCATGCCTGTGAGTTCAACTTTGCTGGAGTTACACTCCCCAAGCAAAGGCAGCACTGAAACTGCACGAATTGCATGGTCAATAGGATTTTGTTGCTTCAGGATTGCAGGAAGTGTGAATGAGGCTACGCCGTACCATATAAATGATGAAATGATAATTTATTGTTTCGTTTGCTGGTGCACTTCGAGGGTTGGCACGCCTTCAACCCAGCTTTGTTTGGGGTTTAAGGTGGCGGGCGCAGGAGAAGCTGCTGCATCAGCAACAGCTGGGGAAGCCAGGAATGAGGGATCAGGGTGGTGCGGTTTTGTGGCGCAGCATGCCTTCCTGAGCCAGCATGTTTGATCAATGTTGATGTGTGCTGCTGTTCTCCAACAACTCGCCGAGAATTGAGACCACCAGGCAGATCTTTCGGGAGATGAACTGGGAATAACTGGGATGAAACAACTGACAGCTGGTTTGTAGCTTTGGCATCGGATTGTCGCATTCCCTGCAAGAAGATGCTCAAGAGAAGAAATAGATTGGACCCTTTGATGGGCCCATTGGCCTGGCTTGTTGTAGCAGCAGCCTCAGTGGGCATGGGAAGGCAACTGACAGGTGTGACTTCACATTCTGCTGTCCATTGTGTGATATCTTCTTTGTAAAACTCTTTGCAACGGTACTTTTGTATTTTTTGCAGCGACCCCTGCAACGACACGTCGGAGTTCTATGCATGTTTAACATGTTCTTTTGGTTATTGGTACTCCTACAGTATGTACACACTGCATGTCATTTGCTTCTGGAGGCCCTTGTGCTAAACATCAGCATTGGTTTCAACATGGCTGCGAACACCGCAAATGTCACCAGCGCGGCCTTCAGCAGGGATGTGGCCCAAAACTGATCAAAGGCTTGAATAATGATCTACGTTGGCGGAGTTAAGGAGTTCCGGTGAAAACATGTTTGTTCTGGCCTTGAATTAGAATTGAAAACTCACATAAGTATTGATGACTATATAACTTGAGAATCAGATGTGCAGATTTTGTTTGTGCAACTTGGACCATCTTTGAATTCACATTCAAGGCCGTGGGTATTGGACGGTCTTGGATTTGACTTCTTAGCCGCTAATAGCCGCTCCTCCCCACACACACTCAAGACAAAATACGTGCAACTTGACGCCCAAGTAACCAAAAGGCCCAAATATGGACAGGTACGAAATGCAGCGGGGCTTCACGCTACTAGGAACAAGGGCATCACTACTAGTAACAAGACAATCGCTACTAGTAGCCTCTTGTTACTAGTAGCGATGCACTTGTTACTAGTGTAAGGTGTCGAAAAGTTGAGGTTCCAAAGCATGGAAGTTTCATCGACTTCAACGGCGACGAATGCATGATTGCAGGAGTGAAGAGCGGATGCAACGGCTGGTCTTTGTTCTATATTGCTAAAACAGTGCCCATGAGGAAATTATCACAGATGGCACGTAATGTCCTCATGTACTGTGGCCGCTTCGTTGGACCATCGCTCACACCACATGGATGTCCCCCTGCACCTTTCTAAAGCTCCGAAGAACGTACGGCTCCCAGGTGTACCCGCGGTGTAACGCGCCCGCGCGCGCACACACACACACACACATACACACACATTTGGTTGAGGCGCAAAGATCTTTTTTGGATGCCAATGGTTTTCCAGCCAAGGCGCAGAGCAAGCGCTGGATCTCAACAACATCCGTAGCGTCCTGCAAAGGATGGAGGAGCTGATGCTAGGCAATGCTAGGTACTGTAACTGTAGTCTTTGCATGTCAAAGGGGCAAGGCAGCCAAGATCACCAGGTGTTTGTTTGTCAGCCCGAAGTTTGAACTGGCATAGCTGGAAAACGATGTATATAAGTGTGAACTTTTGTCCGGATGGCCTGAACCCGTTCGTCGATCGCATGACCGCAGTGCACTGGGCCGAATCTCGCGTTGAAAAGGGCGTCCGTGTTCGTTTTGCTGCCATGGCATGTTTTTCCTTGTTTGCACCTGGTGTTTGAGCACACACTTTGGTGAGTTGGCACCGGAGCTTGGGTGTCGATGACGTTTCATCTGCCGGATTCCGATCCTTCCGTCGAGTACCGTTGGGATGACGACGACCTTCAGGAGTTCGATCTGTTCGGTCGGGATGATCAAAGCAGTTGCTACTCCGAACCTCCCGTTGAGCGTGTTTTGCATTCGATGTCGGAGCACCGCGCGGATGTTGACGTTGACCGATCCAGGGATTCGTTGAAGTGGCGTTGCTATCAATGTGGCTCCTCCTATAGTTGTTGGAACACCTCCCTTCAAGCATGGACTTGCGTGCAGTGCAAGAGTACAGATTTCTATGCTGTTACCCAACCACGACGCCATGAAACCTCTGAAGGATGCTGGATGTATGTTCCAAGATTGGGGTCAGAGCAGAGACAGTCACCAGTTGCCCCGAACCCTCCACCACCGGGCGGTGATCAGCCAGGAGATGATGAGTGGCCTGAAAGTGAAGGCCGAATCACAGATCCATTGGTTGACCCTGACACCATGTCTGTGCAGTCTGGTCGGAGAAGGCGGAGACGCGGGCGCGGTGGCGTCCAACCGGAGGCCGATAGGCCAGGTGAACAGATGCAGCAACAGTACAGCAGAGCAGCAGCACGCTGAGGAGAAACCGCACTCCTCGCTTGCAACAGTGCACACAGCACAGGGCAATTCACTTTGCCAACCGACTGCTAACACGGTGGTCAGAATTCAGCAAAACAGCCCAGAGCATTGCAAGTTTCACCGCACAGCTCAGCAAGCACCAATGAATGCCTCCGACGAGGGCATTACATTGATCGACAAACACTTTGACGGCACCACGGACATCTACATGCCATACCCACACACAGCCTGTTTCCAGGCTTACAAAGCCAGTGCCACATACACAGGCGATGGCATGAGCGATGACATCGATGCTTCCCAGGACGACATGTCCACCTCCGTGACGCCAGGTCAACCACTCACACGACAACAGCAAAAGGCTCTAGACAAGGAGCTGCCCTGGCGTGTCATAGTTGACAAAGGTGGCGACTACCTGGCAGCATTCATCCAACCTGCCAAAGATGAAGAACGATCCTGGATGACCTTTGATTCCGTAGAGGCCGTCGAGGACAATGAAGCAAGGAAGATCATGGAGTCTCCAAAAGGTCGAAAGAGGATCTTGAAATCGCGAGCGGCCTATCGGGACAAAGCCAAGGGCGTTGGCCCGCTCAGAGCAAAGGCTAGAGTTGTAGCCTTGGGCTGCCTAGATCCTGACCTGTTCAGCTTGAACAGAGAGTCGGCCACTCCAACACGGCAGTCAGAGATGTTGGTGTATGCAATATACATTGCAGGCCGCAATGGCAAGACGAACAGAGATGGCGCAACCTGGCATCCCTGGTGTGGAGATGTGAAGACGGCCTTTCTCCAGGGGCAGCCTGAGCCTCGTGAAGAACCTCTGTACCTTGCCCCGCCAAGGTTTTCCCCGCATCCTTGTACTTGGTGAAAGGGAACATTTACGGGCTAGCTTCCGCTCCTCGTACATGGACCATGCACGTTTGCAGGTGCCTCAAGCAGAGCGGTTGGGATCAACACAGCCTGGACAAGATGTTTTTCAGTTTGCATCGAAAGGTCAAGGGCTTCGATTCAGAGATCCTTGTTGCAGTTGCAAAGGTTTACGTTGATGATTTTCTTGTCAGCTATAGTGACCACTTCAACAAAGCCGAGCTTCTTAGCATGTTCAGTTGGGGAAGTCAGTCAACATTGACCCCTGAGACACCGCTGGACTTCAAGGGAAAGGAGATCCATTTGCGCTACGACAATGAACGACAGTCTTGCAAACAAGAGAAGTTCATCAAGGCTTTTCGAAGCGGCTGCATCAAGCGCAAGAAGACCGAGAGTCTTCGACCTGAGGATTTTCCTGAGTACAGGTCGGTTGCAGGCAGTTTGCAATGGGTAGCTGGTCAGACAAGACCAGACGTCGCTGCTACAGTGAGCTTGCATTCGAAGGGAAGCAAGGCAACATATGCCAATTTGGCATCGGTGTATGACGCTGTAGAGCATCTGAGACGCACCAGCGACAAAGGCTTCACGATGAACCCAACAGCCATTGACGACTCAACCCTCGTCGTCACATACGCTGACTCTTCGTGGGCGAACGCTGAGAACTGTGCATCACAGCATGGATGCCTCATCATGCTACAGATGTTGCGACCCATGCCTGTCTGATAGACTGGAAATCCAGCCGCTCAGGCCGGATTTGCAGGAGTACTCTCGCCGCCGAGGCGAGCGCAGCTGACTCCTCGCTTGACCGTTCCAGTTTCTGCAATTTGATGTTGTCAGAGCTTTTGCAGCGGACACCTTCGTTCAGGATCACCACCCCGCTGAGGATGCTCCAGGTAACAGATTGCAAGTCGCTGTATGACTCATTGGTGGCTGAGAACCCGTCTGTTGATGACAAAAGGACAGTCATTTCTGTGAGAAGCATACAGCAATACATTACCCGCGAGAACACGCATTGGGTGCCAACACAGTTGATGTGGAGCGACGCATTGACTAAGGACTCGACAGCTGATGTCGTTGCGCCACCACTGGCTACAGCATCCCTATGTGCTTCTCCGGGATTCAGGCCAAAGAGACACTCGAGTGTGAACTTTTGTCCGGATGGCCTGAACCCGTTCGTCGATCGCATGACCGCAGTGCACTGGGCCGAATCTCGCGTTGAAAAGGGCGTCCGTGTTCGTTTTGCTGCCATGGCATGTTTTTCCTTGTTTGCACCTGGTGTTTGAGCACACACTTTGGTGAGGGTAAGACGGCCAAAGGTTCAACAGATGGGAGTAGAAAGGACCCAAGTAACAAAAACACCCTAGGGGAAAATGCTGTGCAAAACCAAAGGGGTTCAGCAAGCCAAAGGGATTCGGTGGGTCAAGTGCAATTGCCCAACAAATGTCCCAGCAGGGGTCCCCCCTTTGCGGTTCCCGCATTGCACTGGGTTGTGAGACGTGTTTTGGACTACGGGATTGCGCTGCTTCCTATTAGGGATTCCTCTGGATTGCGCTGCTTCTAATCCTGCTTCTTTCTGCAGGATTCCATCATTTTCAGCCTCATTGAGCGATCCCAGTACCGAGTCAACAGCGCTGTGTACGAGCCGAACCACAAGCCTTTGGGCGGGTCTGGATCTGAAGAGTGTCGCTTTCTTGCTCCTTTTGTTATTTTTTCCGGGGGGGTTGTGGGCTGTCAAGATCAAGAAGTAGAGGGGTCAAGGGGGGAGGAAGGTCAGACAAGAGCCACTAGTAGCTTAAGTGGCCAGCTATACTGATGCTGGGACCTCATGGTTGGAGTTCTGTAGTTCCTAGAAATTTATGTTCGGTCAATCAACCTTTGGACTGGCTGTTGTCCTTTCGTTGGGAGAATCCACGGTTGGTCCTTCTTCGTTTGGATGAGGACCATGACGAGGTTGTTGCTGTTAATGGACTTTACACTGTCCATTCCGGCCAGCACCAGTTGCAGCAGCGAAAACATGTGTTTGAAATGAAGTGGAGGGACTGAATTAGGATACTGAAGCTTGCGGAAGAACGGAAGAACATTGCGAGCATTGGGTCAGCCCGAGGTTCAAGTTACATGAGCTGAGAAGCGCTGGCTCCAATGGTTGTCTCGGGGATTGGCTTCGAACTTAGAAACCAGTTGGGCCTTGAGTGATGTGCTTCAGGAATGCTGGTAGGAATTTCACCCGACAACGCAGTGAAAGTTGAAAGGCCAGTTCTGAATTGACAGCGGAAATGCAGGCTGCAATGTATGATTTGTGTGGCATTTGGCACTGCCAAACTGTGCAGAGGTTCATTTATCAGACAGAGTGCCTTCACTCACAAGTGAGGAGGCAGTGCCACGAATGAGAGTCAGAGAAAGGGAAAGAGAAAAGGAGCAGGGGAGTTTTGTGCATGGACCATTTGTATTCATATGTTTGAAGTTTGTGAGAAGAAGCTGTTTGATTTTGAGTATCATGAATCTTCACAGGCCTTTAGTTTGAATACATTTGCAGTGGTCAGAATGGCAGGTATGAGCATCCTACAGAATATCCGTTCTTCGGTCCTTTGCCAGAGCAAGAGCCTGAGCTTTGATGGCTTTTGGACCACAGGCTGGGTCCACATGCTCATGGTTTGTATCCGGCTGCCTTGAAAACTTCCGGGGCTCATCCCAAGTACTCCACCATTCGATCTGTTGATTTCAACCCCTTTTCACGAAAGCCAGCCGGGATAAAGCACCGCCATTTGCAGTTCCAGTGCTTTTTGAACGACAACGCTGGAAACACAATCGCAAGACCTCGTGCAAATCCGCAGATTCTTGATGCTTCTTTGGGACCTGGAGAAGCCTGCTGGTTTTTGTGTAAGCTGATGCTTTCCTTTCCATGCTTTCCCAGGTGCATGGGAATGGTCAAATTGCAATGACAATGTGTGATTGATGGACTTAAGACCAATGCTAGTTCTTCTATGCTTTCCATAGTGCAAATTAAAGGTGTTAGGCATTGGCGTTTCGCATGACTTCACTTCCCTTCCTCCTTATTAACCTCGCGTTTGGTGTTGGTCGCTGTTCAAAGTAAAGAGCACGATGTTGGAAGCTTGCATGCATGCCATCCCAGATTCTCTTGGGTAGTTCATACCACGCAGTCAGCCTGAGGCCGAGCCTTGGGAAGAACCCAGGTGAGGTGGAAAAGCCCGTCCTGGCGACCGTGCCTCCGACGGCCGGGAGGGGTGGAAGCTGAACCAAAATTGCGACAGGTCTTTTGCAAAAATGACCGCCCAAAAGCAGGGTTTTCAGGATGTGGCCCATGTGAAGAGCGTTGTTACAACCTTCCACTCCACCAGGCCCTTGTCAACCAGAAACTCTTGGAGATCTACCGCACAAAGATGATCCCGTCCTTGTGCCGCGGCTGCAGTTCGTTGTGCTTCGGCACATTAAGCAACGCCCAGGTGCGAACCAGGAGACGACGGCAACTATGGTTCCACAGCCGTTCAGGATGTGCCCGCAAACCCAGCCACAAAGACACTGTAGAGAGAGAGAGAGACGCTATGGACATGTTTGGAGAAGAGTAGCCGCATAGCTCAAGAGAAATGATGAATTGGCACGGGTTTGCAAAGACGAGAGGCATGTGGTTCAAACAATGGCTACTCGGATATACTATGGGCTGCGGGGGCCTCACTTGCCAAAGGCGTGTTTTATCACTGTTGCGGCCTGAAGCACGTTTAAGGTTTGTAGCTGAGTCCAAGTTCAGAAGTGAGAGGGAGAAGGCCACTGCCATGATCAAGGCCACCGGCAAGTTGAGTTTCGTTTGGTGGCATGTAGGGAAATTCAGGGCCAGTATGAGCTGTTGCTGTTACGGGAGGGGTGAAATCAATCTATCCGCAAGTGGTAGCCAGGCAAACGATACTGTCCTGGACTAAGCACCGTGAAGCGTTGATCACTTTTGTGGGGAAAGAAGTGCATCTCATGAACTTCTCATGGGGGTTGAATCGTGAGTTGGGACCCATAGTTTCGGAAAGTGACGCCAAGGACGGGCTTACCGCCTTCATCACGAAGCCGGATGTCGAAAAGAAGAATGTGCAGAGAGTTATCCTGAAGGCCTTGGTGCATCAGTAGTTGTCATGAGAATGATAGCTCTTTGTGCAAACCTGATGGTTGCCAGGATAATTTTATGACTTTCCTGCGGGTGTGACTGTTGCGGTAGGATGCGGTGGAGATATGTGGAACCATGAAAGATGATTGAAGCCTCCACTTGGGAGGCAAAGGCCTTCTCACAAAACATTGCCTTGGACAAGCCAGAGGAGTCGTGCGGATCCTGGCACTCAATCAGAAAGAATTATACAATATCCCCGCTGCTACTGGCCGTCTAAATAGAGCGACTCATTTAGTTTAAAGATGCTTAAAGTTATCTAAAGTTGCAACATGGTTGGCAGCGACGGATTTGCAAAAAATTCAAGTTAGCCAGTTTAGATTTAATAAACAGTGTTCAAACTGTGGTTTTATTTTTGCACTTTTTTGATAAAATGACTTGTGCAGACCTTTGAAGTGTGAAAAATCATTTTAGATACTGTAACCATAACCAATGTTTGGAGAAAGGGGGGGTACTCACTACTGTATCCGGTAGCAACGGGGATGGATTAATTGTCTTATTTATATGTATTCCCTGTTTGCCATCAATTCTTTTGGACAGATTGCTGATATGTAGCATTGGGGCATACCATTGTGCTACATCTAGGGCGTAGCCCATTAACGGCAACAGTCGATAAAAGATTATCAGTATTTTTGAGACAGGCCTTTACTAACCATCATCATCATCCACTGCTACTGGTAATGGGATACACCTACAGTGGTCGTTCATGGTCATGAACGCATGATGGCCGAGGGGCCCGGCTATGTACAAGGTGAACCCAGAGTTCATAGGCCTGCGCTTCTGGGACTTGCGGAAAAGCGTTGTGTTTGTTCCAGTTTGCGGGCACATTCTAGTTCTAGTTGAGGGCTCGGTTTCAAAAATGAACTGCTTGCTGCACTCCCTCTCCCAGGTTCCAGAATGTTCTGCGACAAAAGGCGCCACCACAAACACCATGGTGCAGGTACTCTTTTTGAAGAGTACATCATGCCTTTGACCAAAGAGGCAGGAGGAATGCGCCTTCGGGCACTGGTTGCTCCAGCCCTTAATGGCGCCACAAATGATATAGCAGTGATTGGCTCGTTCTTCAGCTGCAACGTTGGCTGTGGGACCGCCCAAGCATTGCGCCAGAAGTTTGCACCGAAAGGTCGAAGTAGCATATCTTCTAGCGCGCCTGGATGAGTCGCTTGGAGCGTTTAGTGTTTGGGATTTGGGACTGTAAGCGAGGCCAATCTTTCGTGTTAGTATACTTAGACAACCGTTCAAGAGTGCATTAGGACAATTAGAGTCTTTGGAGATTCCCACAATTGACTGTCGTTGGCTCGTAGCAGCACTTGTACAAACATCAAGAGGAGTAAGATGAAGGAACGCAAGAATCGAAATTGTTTCAAAGCCTTTCCAACACCTCATCCAGCAGTTGCTTCCCTCGACCAAGGCCGCAGAGAGAGGTCTCTGCGCAGGCAGGACAGTGGGATCGATTGATGTACCCAAGGCGGTCGACAGGTATGGCTGTTGGTCAGTATTCACTTCCTTATCAAGCTGTGCTGCTCAACAAGTTAGCAGGATGAGACCGACGTGGACTGGGTCAACCCTGCCAGAAAGTGAGCCAAGTGAAATCCTTTTCCGAAACAGGAAGGCAAATCAGCTCAATGCCACTCCCGGTACCCACATAATACTCTTTGTCTTACGCTGTACTCGGCGCACTTTTCAGTTAAATGCTTCGCACCTTGTCGCCGAAGCCTTCAGGAACGGTGAAACATAGGTGACAGGTGCTTGCAGCATTGCAAAGACAATGCACAAGTACAATCCCTGGTTCTGTTTCCTCTCGCAATTCGCCGAAGGAAGCTTGTGTTCATTTCCTGGCGATGTGGGGGACAGTTGGGGACAAATCGCTTCTCCTAAGCCGAAGCTACATGCTTCAGCAGCTTGTCTTAAAGACTCAGGACATTGTTCAAAAGACAATGCCATAGCAGTTGATGGTGATCAGGAACCCCGGGTGGCACAACAGGATCACAGCACCACTGAGCTCTTAAGTGAATGCTCAAGTCAAGTTAACTTTCCAAAGCTTACTAGTAACAAGGACGCTACTAGGTGAAGGCCATCGCTATTGGGTTGGAGGCCATTACTACATAATCCTATTACTACGAATAGCTGCAAGCTACTAATAACATTGAGCGGCAAAATCAACAAACCCGTCAAGAAGCTCACTCACTGTCACTGCGCGCCTCAGTGTGCTGCCCAAGGGGGCCGCAAAGTGAACCATGAGCATCCATGAACCGCACGAAGTTGTTCAAGCACGGAGCAACGGCATGCAATGGCTATGAGATTCAAAAGTGAACCAAGCTGGAATAGGCAAGCGAAAAGATAAAGGCCATCAGCACAAACATCAAAATCTCTCACGCAGTCTTTTTTGGTTTGCAAAGCCCCTCATGGAAGTGGCTGATTGGACGGTTCTGCACGACGAGGGGCAGAGGAGAGGTTATTATCCGGGCACTTCTTGTACTGGAATATTGCCGAAGTCCACGACATTTTGCAGCTGAGCTGAAGGGGAGATTGCCTTCAAGAGTGGTTGCCACGGTTGCCATTCCCGAACAGCACCAACCACAACCACTGTGCTTTAATGACTTTAATGTGCCAACACTCTGTCGTTAGTATTCTGCACATTCCCGTCAATATCATCATCACTATATACTATATATTTTTTTTTGCAGTAGTTCTTTGGAGTAAATGCAAGAGTTTGTCTCGGCTTCTCAGCTCAGAAAAGCTAGAAAACACATCTAAGAGGCGTTGGAGATCCAGAGACTGTTTTGTGCATGTTGATCAGAGCACAAAGTTACGGGTCAAAGTCCACTGATTTGGGTAAGGCATCGACACTTGCCTCAGCTTGTATGTGGACAACTCCACGCTGGACCGCTGTCACAATGAATGGGACTGCAAAAGATGGCAGGGAGGCCCATAGTGGAGCTGGAACCTATCTCAACACGGACAAATATGTTTAGGTTTGTGATCCGGTGTTGTGTCAATGATGTGAAGCCCCTTCGGGTTTAAGCTGCGCAAAACGTCACTGAAAGAGATGCTCCCTAGTGGATAGTAGGAAGGCAGGGAGGGAGGCCCCAACCCTACTGGAGGGCTGCAGGCAGGGTCTTGCCGAGGCATAGGGAGTCGGTAGATCTCACCATCGGCAGCTTGGGTGGAGCCGCTTTATGTGCTTGCACCTCGACTGCGGTTTAAAGGATCATGTCAGACACAGCATTGCATTCGGCAGTGGACCTGGCATCTCAAAGTGGTTGAACCCCTCAACCACGTTCAATATTATCAGCATGTTATGTTTTTACATGTTTTTACACTAACTGTATGAACCTATACATATCATATGGTGATTTGTGAGTCTGGATTTATTGATGCTGATTTGTCAGTCTCAGGTTTCTTGGTGCTATGCTTGGACATGTGCTCGTCACAAAGTCCTCGCACTCCATCACAGCGTGCTTGCTTGAAGTGGTCAAACATTTGCCTTCTGTTTTACAGCAACTTGGACTTGAGCCGCAACATTCCTAGCAGGCCAAAGGAAACTTCTTAGCTGCGCATGCTAGCTCAGGTATGTACTTTGTAGCTTATGCGTTGGCTGATGCTTACCAACCACTCTGGGACGGTCCGTGTGAGCTGCAACATATTTTCACTGGTGAGATGTGTGAGAACGATGACTCGCCTTTTTGCTTCTTGAGACTTGGAGTGGTATACATCCCGGGGGGCATGGGCCAAGACATGCCAAGACATTGTCACTTTTCCCGTAGTAATGCGTTCAAGTCAACTGCAAACCACAAAGTTCCACATCGGTGTTTCATGATGACTGTGGAAGCCCAGTTCATTTTTAGCAATTAGCAAGGCCCTTAGACCGAGCTGCCCAGTGCAAGTAGCATGAAGTAGCAAAAAGATCTAGATTCTAGATGAAAAGCCGTGCAGAAGCAGCACGCTGCCAGACAGACTTTGCACAGAAAGAGAAGTAGGACGGGAATCTTTCAGAAGTTTTGAGTGGATATTGATTGCCTTTTACTCAGGAATTGCTGCGTTTTTGCTGTCCCATGGCTGGAGTTCTTCGGCTATGGGGCCTATCTTTGGAACGTGTTTTGGCCTCTCAGCAGCAGGTTCCCCAAACAAGATGAGGGATGAATCCCTGCTAAAAAGGGAAAATAGATGGAATTAGTGCACGAGCACTGTGTCATTCAGGCCGAGTACTCTAGCGTATCGGGTCGATCAGCCAAGTGTTGGTGCTTTGTTCGATCGACGGGTTGGAAGGACACAGGCCTTCGACGTTCCTGAGGATATTGGACCTGGGCCGCTTCACTTTGCTGCCATTGGCCCCCGAACTAGTGGCAGCATTCAGCACACTCCATGTGGTTCCTTTTTGAGGGCAGATATACAGACGAACTTCTTCAGATTTGACAATTGAGGAATGTGAAATGCTGCACTGCAAAGTGTCTAAAGCATCTAAAGCAGTGGAGCTGTCCAGTTTGAGGGCTTCCATGCTAGCTTGATGCGCTTCAGGTCTCAACCAGTCAGATTGTCACGAGAGTGGTGTGTGGCGTCCATCTGAGGAAAAGGTGCTTGGTGTGCACTTGATGTGCTTCTACCACATCTTCACTTGGGTTTGTGCTGGGCTTATTGCCTTTGACCCTAACGGATCTCGCTTGGTGACAGACACCTGCAGGGAGGTCCCTTGGTGCAATGGGTGAGGCCAGAAGGCATGCATGCTGTTTTACAATATTTGGAGGTGAAAGGCCGAAAGGCTGGCATCAATCACCCACCCACAATCCTTGTGAGATCAGCCATTGAGCCACACGTGGACCTTTACTCTCCAAGTCTCCGAAGATCAATGACTCATTTGGCCACTCTTCATATTGCACTCCCAAAAATTACACCGGTGAAAACTAGCATTTTCGCAAAAAAAATGGGGTCTAGTTTCGGAGCGGACACCGTTGAGACTAACCTAGACCAAATTCAGATGTGCCATGGTGGGCCCTACGGGTACTTGGCATGGTCCATGTTAGCCTCCACC